CCTAATTGCCTATTTGCCTAGGGTTAGGGTTTGGCGTATTTTGATCGATGATAATTCCTGGTTCGACTGAGTGCGTGAAGCTTACACTAATTTTGTGACAAAGGAATTATAATATGAAGTTTCGTATGTTGGATATCTCGTTGGATTTTAAACCTTTTGTAGGTTTGGTGGTAATTGGTTGAGGGATTTAGATTATGTATCTGAACCTGAAAAGAATGTGGTTGACTAAATTGTTGTATGTTTAATTGAATTAGTCACCTCTTGGCATGGGTCATGTGGTTTTGGTTAGATGCTGGTTATGTAATGATATTTTTATTTTTATTTTTATCAGGTTCTTTCTGTTGTTGGGCTTCTTCAAGATGAAGTTGATCCAATGGTATCTGTCATGAAGGTTGAGAAGGCTCCTCTGGAATCTTATGCTGACATTGGTGGTTTAGATGCCCAGATACAGGAAATTAAAGAAGCAGTTGAGCTACCCCTGACGCATCCTGAGCTATATGAAGACATTGGTATCAAGCCTCCAAAGGGGGTCATATTATATGGAGAACCTGGAACTGGGAAGACCTTGCTTGCGAAGGTTTGCATTTATTTTTGCTTCTTATAGGGCTGTTGGAATTGAGTTTTAGTAACTCCTTTACTGTATCTCATTTTCTCCTATTTACTACCTTTACCTTTAGGTGACAATTGGTTTAAGAAATATTTTAAACTCCTGGGAAAGTGACATGTTAATAAAAGTTTCCCATTTTGGTAGAAAAGAATAAATATATTTCCTAGACTTAAAAGTTTCTCGATAGTGTTAACTTGTGAATAAGTGGGAATAAAACTTTCTTGTGGTAATTGCCTGTAAAGTTACTAAACTTTCTCTTAGTTATTGACCATTAACATGTTATTATTCGCAAAAAAGTTGAATAATAATTAATCATATTTTATAATTTTTCCTTGTAATCCCATTTCCAGGAATGTCATTGCCAGGAAAGAGATTTAGTTTTGGAATAAGAGATTCCCAGTACCAAACACCACCTTATGCTGGAGTGCTGAGAATGCCCCATGATAAGTCAATGGTCTATGGAGTTTTGAATGCTTGTCTAATGTATATGGACAAAATGAGATTTGTGTGATTTCCTTGTCTATACTGTGTGGAAATCGTTGTCTGTGTCTGCGTTGTTTATAATGTTACTTTCAGGAATTCTCTTGTTATTTGCCAGCTATTTGTCTGTGGCTTTGATGGATTCCAGTAGGAAAAACAGAATGCAAACCCAGAATTACTGATGGTGATTGTATTATTGGAATTCAGAAAACCAAAGGATTACAATTCAACTACCACTACCTGAGCCAAACACCTCTTTGTCTGCCACTAAAACCCAATACTCTCTACCTGCTTTCTTCACTCTCCTATAAAGATAGCTACCCTAACTAACTTGGCCAGCTCAGCAGATTGTGTATCCCTCACACATGCCCAGCCCTGTTTGATCTTTACTGGATATAACATTTGACTTGTTTAGTTATAAGCATTATCTGAACTGTGTGTCATACTGTATGGTCTCTCTCTCTCTCGCTCCCTCTCTCTCTCTCTCTCTATATATATATATATATGTAATTCTATATATTGTTATTGCTCGTAATGTAATACACAATCACATATGCACCATCAGTTAGGTCTAAGACAATGCCTTTTGTACATTCAGGCTGTGGCAAACTCAACATCAGCAACATTCTTACGTGTCGTTGGTAGTGAATTGATACAAAAATACTTGGGAGATGGCCCAAAACTAGTGAGGGAACTTTTCAGAGTTGCGGATGATCTTTCTCCTTCTATTGTATTCATTGATGAAATTGATGCAGTTGGTACAAAGAGGTAATTTGAACCCCAAATTTAGCAGCCATGAAGGTTGGATGGTTGTGGAAGAGTGATGTCTTGTATCACTCTATGAGCTCTTAGGATTATTTTCCCACATTCATGAGCTTACTTGTAAATGTGTTTTACAGGTATGATGCTCACTCAGGTGGAGAACGTGAAATTCAAAGGACCATGTTAGAGTTGCTGAACCAGTTAGATGGTTTTGATTCAAGAGGAGATGTAAAAGTGATTCTAGCAACCAACAGAATTGAAAGTCTTGATCCAGCTTTGCTACGACCTGGTCGAATTGACAGGAAGATAGAATTTCCTCTTCCTGATATCAAAACAAGGAGACGCATTTTCCAGGTAGGCATGACTATTGTGAAGGCATGTGTTTGGGAAAACTTAGCAGTGTGGTCCATTTTTCTCTTTTTTTTTTTTTTGAGAAGTTATTTTTTTAATTAAAATATGTTTAAAAATTTGTAATAATTGTGTAGTTTTTTAAAAAAGAAAAAATAAATAAAATGCTGTTTTATTGCTTTTCTCTGATCTATAAGAATATAACCTGCTTTGAAACATAAATTATGTGAAACAATTACTTTTTTTTAAAAACTCAGTTGTTACTAAATAAGTTATTGTTTCTTCCAAATAAGCTAATCCAAACACACATGGTAGATTCTGGGAAAAAAATGATATAAAAAAAGGCTATTTACACAGATTTACTTTTTTTTTTTTAAAGCTTAAACAAATGATTAATTATGGGAAATACTTGTTTTTTTTTCTAAAATGTGCTATTAGGAAGCTGCTAAAAGTAACAATTATTTTCCTGAAAAAATTAATCCAATCACACTATGTTGTTTCTGTTGATTCTATGTGATATCTTAATATGCATACTCTGTTCAATCATCCACCTAATTGTTCTCATTCTTTGGAATTAAGATACATACATCGAGGATGACATTAGCTGATGATGTAAACTTGGAAGAATTTGTTATGACTAAAGATGAATTCTCTGGAGCTGATATAAAGGCAATATGTACTGAAGCTGGTTTACTTGCTCTAAGAGAACGCCGAATGAAGGTAAGATATCTCTTCATGGCTCTATTGTTTATATAATATAATAGTACTCCATTGCTGTTTGGAAGATGCTAGTTTTGACAAGCTCATTTAATATGGCCCAAATATATTAATCCAAGTAAAACTATTGCATAGGTGGATTTCTCCAATGTTAAACATTTATAGGTTTGAAAACATGCACTAATAGAGGATGAGTGGCAGGAATAAAGTGGAGGGGGATGCAATGCACGAAATCTTGTGGAGGAAATGAAAATCTTGCGTATGAATGTAGACAGAAAGTAGATATTATAGGTCCAACTATTTTCCGTACAAGTAGTGTTTTAGTGAATGAAATCCATCAGTTTACTGGTAACATTTGAACAGATGAAATACATAAGTGCCAGATAATTAATTTATATCAATTAGATTAGGTTAGCAAATTGTTTCAAATTTTAATTTATAGTTATATTATGGAAGTACTCTTTGTTACCTCTGTAAAGCACCAAACGAGCTTTTTTTTTTTTTTTGGTGAAAGATTATACTTTGCCACTGAGTATTTTCCCAACTGGTAGATTAATCTGAGTGTCAAAAAAAAGATGATGGGTTTGTTTCCAGTAGGTGGTCCATCATTGTTGGGTCATAAGTGTTTTTGTTAGCCCTTGATTTGGCTTGTTCTGACCATGGAATGGGAGAACATCTCATTGGTAAGATGGTATACACTTGGGTCAAATTTGTATGTTATTGAAGTAAATCCAAGTTTATCACCTATCAAAGTTTTCTTTTGTATACATTTGTTCAATATTGTCGTTGGTTTGAATTGTATATCATTTATAGCATTTATCCCTCCAATTATGATATCTTCTCACTATGTTTTTTTGTCTTGTTCAGGTGACTCATGCCGACTTTAAGAAAGCCAAGGATAAAGTGATGTTTAAGAAGAAAGAAGGGGTGCCGGAAGGGCTGTATATGTGAAAATGTATCCTCTATTATTCCCGCTTCTCTTTCCCACCCCTCCCCCTGTCTTATGTTCTTTATGCAAACAAATGTGAATTCATTCATATTACGCGAACAAATGTCACTTGCCTTTTGGGGGCTTTGAATCTCAACTATGACTCATTTTAATTCAATATATATCTTTTCTTTCAGTTTCATTGATTTTGGAAATTGTTCCGTATTCCATTATAGTGGAGCTCATAGCCTTCTGCCTTTTTTATTCATGTTAAAGAGGTATGCATGCTTATAGAGAAAGTACCTACTGCAGTTAAATTATTTAGCACAATTGATGATAAGAATCTGGTGGTTAAACTCTTGGAGGGGGACAATCTGATCATAATTTTCTGAAATTTATAGCTCGAGAGATCAGTTTGATTTGCATTAGTTGTAGAACAAACATGATCGATTAATTTTTTTTTACCAAGTATAGCGTAGAGACCTGATGGCTGCTGTTATGAAAAACTATAGTGCGTGTTTTAACTTATAATCATTGCAATTTAGATAATTAATTACAAAACTCTGTTCTCCAACTCCACCAGGTGTTTTATTGATGATTATAATGTAGTTACGGTAGCAAATTAAATTACCATCACAATAGCTACCACCATTAACGTTTACTCGATCTTCACGTGGCATTACTAGACACCTGCTCAGAATTCAGGTGCTGCTCTAGTTGTTTCTCCTTGAACGAGACCCTGGCTCACTGAAATGATGGTGGGGGTTGTGAGATAGACCCGTCTTGTTTAAAGTATTTGTCCTACTACTTTTGTCAGGAAGCAAAAGAAAATGTTTTTTGTTGCTTATTTTTCTGAAAATGTTCTCAATTTATTGGCTCGAAGTGAATTTATCTCTACATTTTTTAAAATTGCTAAGTAGTACCTTTGTTTGCTTGATTGTTCCTGCTAGAGTATTCAACTTGTTTACAGGATTGTTGTAAATAGTAAATAAAGCCGTGAAGACCAAGTATGAAGTATAATCCTGAGATCAAAGGCCTTTTATTTTCATTTCAATTCCAAATATCTGGAATAGTTTTCCAAAATCTCTTGTTATAAAGGAATACCTTTTTGCTAGACTTTCATTCATTTGAACAATAAGGGTGCTTAATTACAAACAAACTGCCCACCGTAGTTGTTTATATTTTTTTTAACACAAATGATCGATCAAAATATGATTTGTTTAATCTAATGGGCATACCGCATACAGCTTAGCTGGTTTACTATTTTTTAGCTTTCATGTGATGATTATATCCGATCACAATTATTATTTGTCACAATCTTATTTCTCTTACGAAATATACAAGAATTACTGTGTCGTACACTCAAATTGGTAAATCTCACTCAAAGTGGACCAACTATTGCGGGCAAGCGCTTTGAGCTATGCATCAGCTTCTTCTTCCACTTCTTTGCCCAGAAGACTAAGTGAAGCACATGAAACAAACCAACCACTAGAAGTATGACTACCCAAACTATAGACAAAGGAACTCCCATCCTATTAACTTCATCAACAATGTGATCGGGGGTCACCAAGCTCTGTGCCCAAAAGTATGTGAGCCCCATGAATGTGAGCGCCGAGGTCATAGCCACGGTCAAGATCCACATCATGAGCTTATTCTCAAGGCGAAACCCGCTAATGAGCAGCAGCACCACACAAAGAGAGGAAAAGAAAGAAGTAGTGTTGAAGGTCATGAACTTTAGAAACCCACGTGGCCAATCATAAGCTAAAATTGCAGTCCCTGCTTTACAAATGCCATAAGTAGTGCAGTTGAGTCCACCACTTGATGTGTCTTCTTGCCAAACCCCACCTGGTGGACTTATTGCTGACTGAAAAGTCATGGTGGCAATTACAGTCGCCACCACCATCAATGTCCCCCGTTTCTCTTCTATCCAATTACTTTGATATTGCAAGTATTTTAACCATAATGTCTCCCAGATTTTGCTTCTCTTGGATTGTTGTGATAGTGGTTCTGTTTGACTAATGATGCTTGGTGATGATGATCCTTGTGTAGTTCCTGTTTGAACTCCAGCTTCAAGTAACATGTCTTCAATTTTTAGGCTAATAAAATCTCTTGGACAGCGCTCCAATACCTCCATAGCTGTCAAACCTGCATTATTTAAAGCAGTAGCTGCTATTCTCTTTTCGGGTAGCATAAGTAAGTATTTTATGGTCTGCAAAATTACAGAAAAACGAATTACTATTGTTTCCCCCAACACAGTCACACTATTCAAACAGCCGGAAATATGACATTTAGAACATCTTCAATAGTACAATCATGGTGGAGTTGCTTAATTCACTTTTGATGGGCATTACAATGTACAATGCAATTTAAGAATTTTAACAAATTTTATCTTGAACCATGTGATCCATAAGAACTTAAAATGAGTCATACTACTGTTTCACAACTAAGAACTAATAAGAATTGATGTTTATACAAGTAATTATATTTATATAAGAACTGTCACAGCAATTGTACCAATGAAAAAATTGCATAAAAATTAAAAACTAGTTCTCAAGTCTAAGAATCCGTAAGCAATTTCCCTTAGAAATGATCTTATAGTCTCAAATCATGTTTCACTTGAGTTACTTAAATATTAGAAAGCTAGTAAACACTAATGAGACACTTGGGAGAGCTTATCTGAAGTTAAGAAATTAGTTTAAGCTTTCTTTTAACTTATTCTATTAAGCTTCTCAAGCTCATGAATGAACTCTTATATGATAAGAATTTATTGAATGTGTTTTAACTAAACTACTCATTTTTTGATGCATATTAAACTACTCGTCTAAACAATCCTTAGTTACTAAATGGTACCTTAATTTGTTTTAGCCTCACTGCTAAATGCAGAACTGTGTTACCCTCTTTGTCTTTGGCAAGCAGAAACTGTTGGTTGCTTGTTGCTGATTGCACAAGGAATTTCAAGGCCTCCAAATGATTATACCTAACACACAAATGCAAAACAGAACCATCATCAAAGATCTGATGAATGGAGTCAGGTCTGGCTCTGGTCAACTCCTGAATAGCTCCTATTCGTCCCCTCATTGCAGCTAAGTGGAGAGGAATCCTGTCATCTTTGTCCAGAGCAAAGCAAACATTTGGGTTTGTAAGCAAAAGAGCCTTCACAACCTCAGTGTGGCCTTCAGCAGAAGCCAGATGAAGAGGGAAACGACCTTCAGAGTCAGCTTCACTAGCTAAACTGGGTTTACTGTTAAGAAGAACCTCACAGAATTCCAAATGGCCAAGCAAAGATGCTATGTGTAATGGAGTTTCACTGAAGGAAGAGAGTGAAACTCTGTTCAGAATAAAAGGGTTCCTCTGGATCATTGCGTTTAAGGTACTCACACAGCCATTCAGTGATGCTTCGTAGAGTGTTGTTATTGTGTCATCTTCTAGAGTTGGTTTTGCCTTCACCTCCATAGTTGGAACAACTAATGAAATCAATTAATATGGATACTTTGGCTTTTGTTGATCTTCCACAAATGTTTATTATCCAATCAAAGAACTCGGAAAATTTTAAAAAGAGAGTAACAGGAGAACCAAACAAAATTCGGCCGATAAGGAATAGGAAGCAACGTGGTGTTTTACTTAGCATTAATGAGATCGATGGTCAAAAACGGCATGTATGACTTTTTGGGGAGGATATTGCAAAATTATTATCGTTGACTTAAAATGTTCATACCAGAGCAGTTTTTTGCCTTACTGTCAACTGTTCTGTTAATTCTTTGCTATGTATGCAGCAGGATTGGAGCAATATTTTAGCGGTAGTTTCTTAAAAATAAGTTAGTGCCAGTGGTATGTATATATATAACTTTTTTAACACAAGATCTTGTATGCTTCCTATATAAATATTAAAGGGAGTGCACAAAATGAGAATTCTTCTTTGAGATACAGACGGATTGAGAAATCTATCAAACTAAAAATAAATATCTAACGAATCAAATTAGCGTGGAACAATTGACAAGAAAAAGTAATAAAATAGTCTCCTATACAGCATTTGACACTGGTATAAATTTGCTTATGTATTTTTTGGTGCTAAAGTCAATCCGAACCGATGAAGACGGGTAGGCGCTTTGAGCTGGGCAACGACTTCTTTTCCCACTTCTTCACGAAGAAGATGACTAAGTGAAGAACGTGAAACAAAAAAACCACCACAGGTATGATTACCCCAGTTATGGACAAAGGTAAACTCATCCTTCGAACATGATGAACAATGTTATGTGGGGTCACCAAGCGCTGTGCCCAAACGTACGTGTGCCCCATGGACGTGAGTGCTGAGAACAAAGCAATGATCAATATCCACATCATGGGCTTGTTGTCGAGGCGAAGTCCGCTAATAAGCAGCACCACCACACAGAGAGAGCAAAAGAAAGAGATAGTGTTGAAGGTCGTGAATTTTAGAAACACGTGTGGCGAATCATATGCTAAAACTGCAGTGCCTGCTTTGCATGTGCCATAACTGGTGCAGTTTAGTCCACCGGTTGAGGTGTCTTCTTGCCACACCCCACCTGGTGGGCTTACTACTGACTCAAAAGTCATGGTGGCAATTACTGTCGCCACCACCATCAAGCTCCCACGTTTCTCCTCTATCCAGTTACTACGGCATTGCATGTACTTGAACCATAGTGTCTTCCAGATTTTGCTTTCCTTGGATTCGTGTGATGGTGATTCTGCTAGAGTAGCTATGCTTTGTGTTGCTGATGATGACCCTTGTTGTGCAGTACTAGTGTGTGTTTGAAGTACGCCAGCCTCATTTAACATGTCTTCAATTTTAAGGCTTATGAAATCTCTTGGACAGCTCTCCAACATCTCCAAAGCTGTTAAACCTGCCTTGTTTAAAGCATTGACTGCTGTTCTCATTTCGGGTAGCATAAGTAGGTATTTTATGGTCTGCAAAATTATATAGGGAGAAAATTACTATTGTTAGTTTCACCCAACACAACGAGACTATTCAAACAAAAAGAAATATTGGATTTTACTCTCAAGTCATGCTTCACTTAAACAAGTCATGAAGTAGGTAACACTAATGAGACATTAAGAGGAGACCATTTTTTTTAAGGATGTGTATCTTCCACCGTAGAGAAGATTCTATTTGAACAGAGTAAGATTACTATAGGCAGCAAAATTCTTTCTCCAAGTAATTAAATCAGTTGTATATTTATAATTTGAACTTGAAAGTTCTGGTTAAATTAGAACAATTTTACACCGGTTAATCTACACGCTTTGTAGTTTGGAAGATGCCATTTGAAATATGTAATTAGTTTAAGCTTGTTTTAACTTATTTTAATGAACTTCCAAGTCTAATTCATGAATGAAATGTGTTTAATTTATCTAAGCACGCCTAAGATACTATATGGTACCTTAATTTGTTTGAGCTTCACTGCTAAATGCAGAATTGTGTTACCCTCTTTGTCTTTGGCAAGCAGGAACTCTTGGTTCATTGTTGCTGATTGTACAAGGAATTTCAAGGCCTCCAAATGGTTATACCTAACACACAAGTGCAGAACAGAGCCATCATCATTATCAATGATGTGATAAATGGACTCTGGCCTGGCTCTGGACAACTCCTGAATAGCTCTTATGCGTCCTCTCATTGCAGCCAAGTGGAGAGGAAGCATGTCATCTTTGTCCAGAGCAAAGCAAGCATCTGAATTTGTGAGCAAAAGAGCTTTCACAACCTCAGTGTTGCCTTCAGCACAAGCCAGATGAAGAGGGAAACGTCCTTCAGAGTCAGCTTCACTAGCTAAACTTGGTTTTCTTTTAAGAAGAACCTCACAGAATTCCAAATGTCCGAGTAAAGATGCTATGTGTAATGGGGTTTCACTGAAGGGAGAGAGTGAAACTCTATTCAGAATAAGAGGTTTCCTTTGGATCAGTGAATTTAAGGTACTCACACAGCCATTTATTGATGCTTCATAGAGTGTTGTTATTGTGTCATTCTCTTCTGGAGTTGGTGTTGCCTTCACCTTCATTATGAGAACGGCTAACTAAATCAATTTTTTTTATTTCTTGTGAATTCCAAAGAATTTGTTGATAAATACATAAGATAAGACGTGAAACATAGAACCAACCCAACATACAATCAAGAGCACATGACTAGGTAAAAATAGGAAAAAAGTCCCCAAACTCCTCAGTATGAGTCGAGTCAGTCCATGGAAGACTTGAACACACAACATGCACATTAATTCTAGAATATACAACATGGCTAGTCAATGTATTTTACCATAAAATCAATTAATGTTGTTACTTGGATCTTTTGTTGACCTTCGTCACGTGTTTATTATTATTATTATTATTCAATCAAAGAGCTTAGAAGAAAAAAAGAATATCAGGAGTACAAAACAAAATTTGTCTGATAAGGAAAAGGAAGCAATGTCGTGTTTTACTCGGCATTACGGAGATTAATGCTAAAAAACGTCAAGTATGATCTTTGGGGTGGAAGTGTGTGCTAAAAGGAAGCAACGCGTCTTTTACATAAAGAGATCGATGGTCAGAAACGGCATGCATGACGTGTGTGTCGGTTGGGGTGTCTTATATTCACTTATTTATTTTTATAATATATATGAATTTGTCCTTTTCTTTCTTCTAAAAAATATATCTTAGCAGGTTTTATCTTTAATTTATATAAAGAAAAATGAGATTATAATTTTTGTTAGATTACTTCTTAACATACTCCTCCTTATCTTCCCCTCTTACAAGGACATGGTTGTTGTTTGATGGATGTAACATCCCAGTTGCGTGAATATTACTTCTAATATTATACATATATAATAATTATGTACATTATATTATTAATATTATTAAAGAAAATTTTATAAACTTGCTTACATATAACACTTTATATTTGCATCCTATATTAAACAAATTTTTTTACAATAATGTACATACTTTAAAACTACTTATTTCTTACACTAATTTTATAATGTTTACATATCGGGTTGATACAAGTTCACTATAGGATTAACATAATTTGTTGGAGGTAAATAAAAAGTGACTACTATTTGACCATTTATGATAACGGGATTTTGTTGGGTTGGTGAAAATATAAAAGTTGATAATCCTATCCCCTAAAATGTAATGGCATTTGCAGATGTGTCCATAGCCCAACTGGTACCCAGAAAAACTGCAGTAATAACATAAGAGAAAGGGTCTGGTACGGTTGGTAGGTCCATCTATTTTTCATTATAATTAATTAAATGTTTTACACAAGAAAAATAAGGAGTGAGAACAATTATCCAATAAATATTAATAACAATATGGATAGAAATATTTAATATTAATAAATATGTTGATCAATGTAAAAACGAACACTATAATTCACAATAGTGTAATCAATTATCTCAAGTAGCATAATTAATTATATTACTAATTTATATTAAAAAATTCCTTACGTAAACATTAAAAACAGAAAAAATACGTAAAATGATAATTATTTAAATAATTTATTTTACATAAATCTTTAACAGTATAAAATATAATTTAAAAATATTAATTTTTGTCATTTTTCACTTAATTTTATTTGATCAAACAACTATATTTTTTATTTTATTTTTTAATCTTTATTTACAAATTATTATTATTATTTTTACCTAATTTCCCCTTTTTCTGTCAAATTCTTTCTCTCCCAAACAAAACATAAAGTAAAACTAATTTATCTGTCTTTAAATACTTTCCAAATGAATTTCTTTTGAACTTTCGGACAGTTAATTATTCAACCATAAACAGAATATATTCGGTATAGTATTAAAAACTTGATAAAAATACTAGACAAACTCAATTCTCAACAGCAATAAGGAAACTGCACTAAAAATGAATACGTGTTATTCGTTCTTTAAATTTTTATCCAAGTAAATGAAATTATATAAGGTGTTTCAATTATTGAAAATTTATTAATTTAGTTCTTTTATTTATATATTTAATTAACTTTATTAATATTGAAAGACTAATTTACTAACATTTTTGATATATTATGAATATAATTTCTAATATTTTAAAAATTATATATAGTTTTATTATTTTAAGTACTACAAAAGAAAAAAATAACACTTTATAGAACAAATTGTTTATTACAACTAAAATCTCATCTGAGCGTCAGTTTCATCACTTACCCATGATCCATTACACCGCATATGTAACAAACATTTAGGTGGAGGAGGATAATGGCAACCAAGCTAAGTAAGGAAACAGTTTTAATATTTTTAAGAAAAATTATTTTTGGACATCCAAAAAGTCATCGTGTTTAAGGTATTATTTATTTTAGTACTCATTGAATTATTATAATTTTTATTTTTAATAAAATGTCTTAATAAATTAAAAAAAAAGTATCTAAAAACTATTTTTAATTTTATATGAGACTTTTATGCACATCAAAACAAGTTTTTCGTCAAGATTAAAAGACAAAATTAGCTTCAATCATTCTTTTAGCATTAATATTTTAACTAGATGTTCACTTATTTATTTTGATATTTGTTAAACCGTCATAATTTTGAAAATATTTATAAAACTATTATCGATTTCGATTTCTAAGTGTTATTATTGTTTAAAAGATGCCTAAAATCAATATTTTATATTAAATTAAATGAAAATAGAGACATGAATCAATAATAGATATGGTAAATAGAGACAAAACAAAAGGAAAATATAAATATAAATACAAAAATTTAAAAGCTTGTGCCTTCGAATATTTTATTTAAAAATAAAAATAATTGAAATTAAATATAAAAGCAATTAACAATGAATGTAAATACGAATAGCTTTGATTAAATAAAAACAGTGCTTTAAAAGTTATAAGCATATAATAATAATAATAGCATAGAAGTATATATTATATTTTAATTTTTGGTTCAAATATATTTTAATTCTTATAATTTTATTTATTTTACTTTTTAATCCATATAATTTAAAAAATATATTTTTAATCCATATATTTATCTTTATTATGTTGTATATTTTAAGATATTTTAAAAAATTAAGTTATTTATAAAATTATTTAAATTTAAAATAATTATTTTATTAATTATAAAATTTAAAATCTAATTAATATTAATTTTAATAAGATACAATAACTTGATTATTATAATTTTAATTTATTAAATATTTTAAAATTAATTATTTTTAATTCTCATATTAATTTGTCAAAGGTCCCTTTTCTCATATCTACATTGACTTTCTTCACTCTTTCTCAATATTTTGTCTTTTCTAGATTAAGAATTTGTCATGAGTACACGTAGTTTAACACCGAGAAGATACTGTTGTATCTTGAAACTTTACCTGCATCCATGGACGAACTATCGTCCATAAATTGTACACCGTATGGTGGCCGACCAGTCCGAACAGTTTGAACACCCGAGACCGAGGCCAGACACCCAAACCCGCAGACGCTAAGGCCGGGAGCCGAAACCGCCGACCACTCATAACTCGAGCGTAATAAGCCGGTATGCTCGGTCGAACTCCGCACCTACGTCAGGATAATTATAGAGAGATTAATTAACATAATGCATCAGATTAGCCTCCTAATTTTCTGGGGCCCAACCCCTAATCACGGCCCAATAAGAACCACTATAAATAGGACCCCAACGAGGTATGTATCCATCTTTTTCAACTACCGCATTTATTACGCCGAGCACTTACTTGAGCGTTGGAGTGGTTTTGCAGGCACCCCCCTCACTTCGGACTACTCGGAGCAGGACGAGAAGACCTAGACCCAAGACCAGATCCGTTACAACAAGGATAATTGAAGTGTGTATCCTAACATAGGAACATTTGGCGCCCACCGTGGGGTCGAAGAGACGTTTCAGCCCCTGTTAAACTCTACGACTGAGACCGAGACATGGTAGTTACGCGCAAAGGACAATCAACAACGACTCAATCAATCCCCAACCCCGAAAGTAATTCTGTCATGACCAACCAAGAACGTTACCCGTACGGAATGCCTCAGACCCAACCGGAACCGGTGGTGCAACAGGTCCAGCCGAATACTGACCAAGCTCAACCTGACCTCCGGGAGGACTTGCGCGCATTACGCGAGGAAATGGCGGCCATCCGAAGACAAAGAGAAGCTGATGCCCGAGAATTGGTCGAGCTACGTCGGCAAAATGTCGAACTCCGGAACCTGAACCAAACTTACGTGCCATCTACCCCCACACTCGCAGAAGAATCAGCCTATCATGCCCCAACCGACCAGGTCACCCGAACACCTACTACATCTCTGATAGGCAACAAGGCCGACACCAACGTTCATTCCCTAAGACACCCTTTCTCACGAAGGATAATGGAAGCAACCTTGTTAGATCATTGGAAGAGTCTCCCAATTGAGAAGTACGACGGATCCACCGACCCTGACGAACACCTGAATGTCTTCTTGACACAGGCGACCCTCTCCACTCAAGACGACTCGGCTTTGTGCCGGATATTCCCCACGTCGCTGAAGGGAAGGGCCCTGAGTTGGTTCACGAGGCTGCCAAGCTCATCCATTGACTCGTTCAACGAGTTGTCATCCCAATTCACTCTCCAATTCGAGACGAGCAAGCCGTACAAGACGACCTCGTTAGCCTTAGCGGGGGTCCGTCAAGAGAAGAAGGAAAGTCTGAGAAGTTTCATGGACCGATTCAACAAGATTGCCATGGAAATAGGCGATCTTAACCCGGCCGTGGCGTTGGACCGACTGAGCACCGCCCTGAGGCTCGGGCCATTCGTAAACAGCTTGTGTAAAAAACCCCCAGTCGACATGAACGA